CTATTCTTTTAGCAGGCAACTTCTGGTACGTATTTCGAATATTGATTTATATTTCAAATTTTTGAAGTGTAACATGCGATGGATATCTTAACATTTAGTTTCTCTGAAGAAAATGTTTCTGAATTGCTAACAAAAACAAAATTAAATCATATTGAAAAGTATTGAAACATTTTATTTAGTTTGCTATCAGTCAATATTTGTACATATTCACATATTACGAGTATAACGTTGATGAAATGCAGAAAAGCCCTAACTGGCATTTTACGACATTTTTCAAAAGCCCCCTTACAAAATTGTATGAACTGGAACCTTTGTTTGTTTGCTTCTCCCCCTGAAAGAAAAACAGTTTGTATTCGCCAATGGAAAGAAATCATTCAAAGTTTTTAAAGATGTCAGTGTCACAGTGACTGACGTGCGTTATTGGACACGGTCAAAATCGCTTAGCCGGTTACAGCGACAAACAAGAAGAAGAATATACCGGTACCTATTGGGAAACGCAAAACGGAAGTGGTTTAACCAAAAGTCCAACAGTTGCCGCAAACAGTTTCGTATTTTTGTCAGCAGAATCCAAATCCAAATACGACCAAAAATTCCCGACTTTCTACCCTCTTTTTCGTTTTTCAATAAAAAAAAACATGTTTCTCAGTTTTGAAGTCTAGGACGAGTTGAAGTTCGAAGGTCATTTATGGGTTAAAAGATTGAAACGTATTTGTATTCACAAATTTCGAATCCGCAATAAAAACATGTATGTTCCATCAAAAATAATGGACTTCCGATCCGTATAAACCGGTAGAAACCAGATATTGGTAATACTATCAAAATATAGAGCATTCCCAACGTTAATCTCCAGACCCACGTGCTTTGCATTTTTATCAAATTTCGAGAAGGCAGAACAGACATTGCTTTTGTTGTTACCATGTTCTTATCAAAACATTGTTCCTCAGCAACTTAGTTCCGCTTCAGATTAAAGAAGTAGCACGACAGCGATTCGCTTTGTCTGAAAACTCGTCTGATATGGAATGCCTTTCCCTCTTCAGCTCCCTAGATCGGTGTATTTTCCGACGATATGACCAAAGATCCCTTCCTTGCTCAACTGGCATTGAAATCGCCTACCACGATTTTTATTTCGTGACGGAGACAGCGCTCATAAAGGCGTTCCAAGCGCTCATAGGTCGCCTAGTCCTTCCCTTCCGTTGTGTTGCGAATTGTGGCGAGAAACTCATTAACTGCGATAGATAATAGTACTCGGCATTTTCTCTTTCCCACCACAAATCCGACACCAAATTTGCGCTCCTCTACATTGCAGCTGCAGTAGACGTCGCAAGGCCCCAAGTGTGTTTTGCCTTGTCCGACCAACGCATTTCTTGGACGGCGGTGATGTCAGCCTTAGCTTTCGCGAGGGCATCAACAAGCTAAGCAGAATCATCTTCCCATTAAAGTCCGGACGTTCCAGGTGTATGCTCTCAAATAGTAGCCCTCTATCCAAAGAGTTAGATATACTATCACCAAAGCGCCACCCGATATTTCACAGTTTATTTAGCTTGCTTTAAATTTCAGGGAAGTTCTAGAAAAATAATATTAAAAAAAAAAACTAACAATTCCCGTGGCTAATTCACGAAACAAGAAAGTGCAAAACCGCTATCCAATTTGTACAATATATTGAACCAATGGATCTGTGGTTGAGTTAGAAATGTGTACGTATTCGTGAATGTAAGTACATACACAAATACCTATGCACATATATTTATACCGCAACTGACATTTGAGTAACAAATTGATTGGTTACTATTTTAATCAAATCGTTTGAAACCTCGAATGGATTGAATTTGAAAGGCCAAACATTTGTTCAGGAGTCAGCGCACCAGCCGTGTCAAGAGATAAGAGGCGCAACAATGAACTTTAACAGCGAATGCAATTGACAGCCATCCAACTATCTCTAACCAACCAACCAGCCAACCAGCCAACCTACGAGCCAAATAAACAACATAACAGACAACAAGCAACACCCGAAACATTACAATTATGCAGTCAGCCATATTGTGGATCGACCCAGGTTTTTAACTTTAGTAGCGTTTCACAAATATGTATGTATGTATGTATGCATTTGTGCATCGTTTTAACCATTGATACTACGTCTATAAGCGGTGACCCAAATACTTGTATCATACCTAAATATGTACGTACGTACGTACGTGTGTATGTATGTATGCATGCACGTAATTCCTACGAGGTGGCCTCGTGCATCAGACCTGTAATAATGGTGATTGCCAGAGGACGAGCATGCTTGTATGTTTGCACGTGGTTTGTTTGCATCTGGAGGGCAAATACCGAGGTGAAGGCAAAAGTGGGTGAAAAATCCATAATCGATAAACTTATGCACAATGGGGTATGTTTACTATGCTATGGTAGGCCTTTGGATATCGCCAGTAGGAAAATAAGTACATATTTATGTATGTATGCATGTTTTAAATTTTATTGTAGAAACTTTTTCGATGTTATAACTGCACTTACTCCTCGCTCTTTTTAAATATTCTTATAAAGAATTTTTCTGCGAGCCCTTCGACCGATGGAACTGAATCGAACTTATACTTAAGTATACCATGCAAGAATACGATATATCTTAAAAAAAACCCATATTAGATTCCCCAATTATGGAATCTAATGCAGCCTTCCCCAGCAATGCAACTCTACCCCTAAACTAGATACATACAGGTAGGTTCACTGTGACAAACATAATTCCAAGTCAACCCCGTGGCTTTCGGACCTTCACTACGTGCTGTTAACACCTGGAGAAACTATCACCGACCTAAAGCACATACGTATCGTTTAAACTTTAAAGTATATGTAAATGTACCAACAGGCCTTAAATCAACATTTTAAAGTAAAAACTAGGCACGCTTTTCGGGTATTAAAAAACTTCAGCAAGGCCTGAGAGATATTACTGTGGCTGTAGAAACAAAATTCTTTTTCTGGAAATCACCATTTAACTCGAGAATAATTGTAGCAAATAAGGGCTTTTAAGCTCTTGTTCTAAATAATACTCTTCGAATCAATTATTAAGTTAAATTTATATATTCAAACCTATTTTCAAAAGCGGTAGTTATTTTATCATTAAACAAACAGGTGTATCAAATGAAAGTGGTTGGGTATGGTGAAAAAATTTTGTATGGAAAAATATAGTACAAAATTTTCACTAAAGTATGTACATATTAGGAATGTTAATCCCGGGATCCCGGGCTTTTTTAGGTCCCGAAAATCCCGTGATGCTTGGGTATCAAGTTAAAGAGGAAATTCTGTAGAATTTAATCAGATCCAATTTTTTTGTGCATATGGACTGGCAAGTATTGAAAATGTCCTTTTAAAATGTTTTCCTTGAAATTTCGCAATATTTGTTTTTGAAAAAATTATATGTTAAGGACTACAACGCATTGAATTTTTAAAATAATTTTTGAAACGAATCATATGTTTGAAATTACAATGTCCTTTAAAATAAATCCTGACGTCAGAGAGAAAAAATAAAAAAGCCACTTTAAATAAAAAGCAGGTTTCAAACCCATTTATTTATTATTTATTTTATGGTAGGAGAGCTTCTCAAACAATTTAAAAGCAATTTTTTCGATTTAAGTTGTTGAAAAGTAATGAATTCTAAATCCCAGGACTAAGCCCGGGATACCGGGATTGTGATAACGACATCCCGAAAATCCCGGGATCGTAAAAAGCCAAAAAATTAACATCCCTAGTACATATGCATATTCGCATACTTGAAAATGGGCCTAACCGGCGTCATGATATTGAAGAAAAGCAGCATGCAAAATGATCTCGGACTTTCACCTTATAGTTCTTTGTGATAAAATCCACAGGGAATCTAAACTAGAGTAGTAAAACTTTAGATACCATGCATAGAACTTACTGGGAGCACTAGATTCCACTATTTCACGTTCCTGCTTGCAAGAATCCCCATTAAGAGTGAGTAGGAAAGCATAAAAACCCACATAGACAATACTTGGTTTGATATGTTTTACCCGGACGAACCACTGTGCCATGTTTAGGAGAAATTATTGAAGCGGTAACCGAGATATATATGTACATGTAATCATAAGTGGGCGGGGATGCGCCCATTTTCAAAAAAATTATAAATTTCTTATTTTCCGCCTAAAGATCATTGTAAATATCACATTTTGACTGAATAAGCTTCATTAGTTACTAAAATATCGCAGTTTTCTTATTTCCGCCAAATACCGTTGTATGGGAGGTAGGCGAGGTTATTGTCCGATTTTGCCTTTGTATTCAAAATACCATCTGTCCATGGCTCAAAAGAAGTACTCGTACCAAGTTCCGTTAAGATACTTCAAATTTTGTGCATGAGTGCGCTCGGGTATAAAAATATAGGACATGTAACAATTAACGCCTTGTGATCAAGCGAACAATTGTTCTGTTGCAAAGTGTGTTTTTTAAGGTTATTAAAAAAAAAACTATATAAACAAAATAAATTTCGAGAAGTGTGACTAAGAATTGTAAGCTTTTGCCTCGCTGTGTGCCGACCCGAAATCGGCACCAAACTCTTACTTGTTGGGGAACTTCCTGTGGGTTCATAACAATATCTGCCCGCGCCAATTGAAAACTCGTTTATCTTCAAGGAATCTAGAAACCTTAACTCGTCAACATTCGTTCCCATGGTGATCGGTTTTGCTTTCTGTACTGACTGATGAAACTCCCCCAAACACAAAAGTCCTGAGTTCAAACTTGAATCAAAAAAGAAACAGCCGGCTATGGGCAAGAGGTTTTAAGACTACAAAAAAATAACTCCCTTTTGAATGTGGTGCTTTTAAAGTCGCAATTTCGTAACGTTTTCTATTTATCCTAAGTATCTTTTAGTGTGTTTCCCACATGGCGCAGCCACATTCATTTTGTTTACATATATTATTATATACAAAGATATTCGACTAGATACTAAATATCTACGAATCTTGACACACAAACGTATTCATGCGAGTACATACCCAAGAGCGCTTGAAATAAGCGTGATTTAAAAATCCGTATCACACGCTCGATGGCAATGCGCAGTGCACGATCCTGCGGCTCCGAAAGTCTCGAGTGGTAGTCTTCCAATAATTCGAGGGCACGATGTGCTTCTGCAATAATAAAGAAAGAATCAAGGTGAGAGATTTAAAACTGCAGACTAGTTAGCAGCGGCATGCATATGTACATATGTATGTATGTATAGGTGAATGTATGTGCGGGTATGTGCATGTAGGATACAAGCTTAAGGCCCGTCTACATAGAACTTTGGCGTTGCGTTGGCGTTGGCGTTGCTTCAACAGCTGACTATGAATACATGAATTCAAATGCCGTCGTCCACATAGCCAAAATTCACGCCAACACAAAGCAAAAAGATGGCCAACTCTCATTTTTTCGCGTGCGTCGCTCGTCAGCTGTTGCAAATAAATAAAGTTATTTGAAATATTTTTCCTTTTCAATCAAGTGCGGGCAAGAAATATCGTTTTCAATGCAATTATTGATAAAAAAATATTAATTTGTCTGTACTTAGAATGTTAATTTAGTGGCCCAAGCATTCGCTGCCAGGCGTTCATTGTAGCAAGCATACTTTTAACGTGCGTTCTGTTAATCCAACGCCTACGCCAAAGCCAACGCGAAAGTTCTATGTGGACCGGCCTTTAGCCAATTAAAGAAGGCTGACAATTTAATAGCGATCACAGTTAAATACTTCGTACTAAGTAGAGTAGCAGAATAAATAAAAATGTGCTGAAGTGCATATAGCGACCTGCATGAAATTACTTTGAAATGCTTATGTGTTTATGTATGTATATACATAACTAGTATTTGTAGTAAGTTTATGTGCATTTGAAAACAAAAATTTTAAATAGTGTTCTTTTTCTCTCTAAAATAAAGTCAGTTTGGCATACTTTGTATATCGGCATAACGTTCGTCTAACGTCATTTCCGGCGTGGTCGCCTCAATTTGACTGGCTTGTCCAAATATTGTAGACCAATAGCCACGCGTATCATCGTCACCGCCGCTATCGCCGCCAACTGCACCCTCTACATCCATGTCACCTTCTTCATCCACATCCATAGCTGTCGTCGCTTCAGCAAACTCGGCGCGCGTCACTGTGATCGACACCGTATCGGCAACAGCTTCTGCTGCCTCCGCCACTTCAGCTTCCATAGCTTCATTGTAACTCTCTTCTGCACGCATTACCGAGTCGATTGTATCTTGTCTGCCCTCCGACGTTTGGCCATAGATGCGTTCACGTTCGATCGACTCGATCATCGATTTGAATCGATTCAATTCGAAACGTAAACTCTCCGACATATTCGTCAATTGTGTACTGTATGGCTTCGAAAATGAACGTTGTCTTATTCTATTGCTTACACTATTCGTATACGTTTCGTTTTCATCACGCGAAACATCCGATTCGGACTTTTCAAAGTAACCAGACTCGATGTCCGGTGTTTTAAGGCCACTACTCAAGAGATGTCCGTACTCGAGCAAATCCTGCGCAGAGTAGTAACACTCAATGGATTCGCGGACACTGTCGCGCCAATTTTCTTCGCCCGCCAAGGCGCTGGCGGCAGTTGTGGTTGTGTTGTTGATGCCGTTGGTGTTGCGTGCGTCTTCTGGTTCGGTTTTTGTATCTAAACATTGCGCGGTCGAATCTACGCCGTTGACCTGGTCGACGCTATTTTTGCGCTTACCTTCGTCGTCGCTATCGCCGTTGTTGGCGCTAAAGTAGTCATTGAGGTTGGTACCAGGGTCCGATTTGGGAGCTGGCCGTTCGCTGGATTGCTGCTCGTTATTTGCAGCCTTTGCGTCTGTTGTAGATTTCTCTTGCACCACTTCAATTGCAGTTGTACCTGCAACCGATTCTTTTTCTAATTTATTGTTGGCATAGGTTGTCGGCGGCAGCGTTGGCACACCAACCGCAGCACAGTCGGGTGGCTCTTCTAACAACTCAGTGTGTTCTTTGCAATTAGCATGGATTTCTACGGACACTTGTACGGCATCACTTGAAACGTTTGACGAATTGGTGATTGCGTTTGAATTTGTGGTTTTTGCCTCCACAGTATATTCTAAGCTCTTAAATGGTTCCTCAACGTCTTCTTCCTCAGAGCTGTCACCCAAATTTCCGCTTATTTTTATTACTTTCACTGTGTGCACTTCAATTGGTGAATTAGGTTTCGCGGTCTCAGTCTCGTCAACGACTAGCTCGGTAGTCCGTTTCACGTGCTCTTCTTGACATTCGTCGGACGAGTACTTTTTTAGAGTCAGCGGTACTTTCTCTTCGTCCTCTTCAGACAAGTCCTTAACTGCCTGTTTGGCACTTTTATTGTTGTTTCTCAATTTACTTGATTTGAGTGGCGTTTTCTCAACACTTTCTACGCGTGAATGTTGCACTCGCCTTTTTACACGTTGCTTACTCCGCGAACGTCTATTACACTTGACCTTTTTCGTATCTGTAACTAAAAGACAAGCGCTTTCCCCGCGCCCATCACCATCGTCCTCATCCCCATCGTCGTCATCATCACCATCGTCGTTTGCATCACTATCAATATAATCTTCGACATCACTTACGGCGCCGCAGTCAATGTCTCGCATATCCCCAATATCCTCCCCGTATTCCGGCTCCGAGGAATCAACGTCATCGCCTTCGTCGCCATCATGAAATGTGCGATTATCGCTGCTCTCTATCAGATTTGGATCACTACTTCGCTCGCGTTCACTGTCAGTGTCCATGTTCGGTCCGTAAACGTGTTTTGTTTTTGGTAAACGCAGTAAATTTATAAAAAGTATGAAATAATTAATAAACTATTCGTATGTAGAGTTCATGATGCACTGCCAAAACATTTCTTGAGTTAAATGTAGGATTTTGTATATATTTTATATATATTTTTTAGAGTACCGCGAAAATGCTTTTCGAGAACGTCTTGTCACAAAACCACGTCTTTGACTAAGCGCTAAATTCCATGGAAGACTTACAAAACGCCCTACAATTACGCATTGTCGACGAGCAAAATGCTATCTTCCATGAGTGAGTGGAGAAGCGAATTTGGTTTTACATGTCTGTATGCCTGTCATGTTAAGCATTGTAGAATTCTACTTAAGCGGCTGGAGGGTGAAAGTGGAAAAAAAAATATAAAATAAAATATTGCAAAACAGTCAGCTAGAAGCTGTGCGACACACACAAATTTTACAAGCAAAAACAATCAATATTGATCGATGAAAATTATGGTTTTGAGCCGAGTTTTAAATGTCTGTATAGTTTCACATACGACTGTATGCGGACTTATGCCTATGTATATACATACAGTCAGTCAATAAAGTTTGGGTACAGCGATGTTTTTACAATACGGGCAACTATTTTTTAAATATTTTATTTTTCGCTATTTTTTTAAAAAATATGGTTAATTCTACAACAAACACCACAAAAATCAGAATTCCAAACCTTGTGCAAAATTAAAGAAAATTCTGCAAAATTTCATTCAATTGTTGCACTTTTTATTTACGCTCTCTCGAAAAAAGTTGAGTATGCAGTTTTTTAGCCCGTTCAATTTTAGTATAATAAAGTGCAAGTATGTGGAAACTAGGACTTACCATTGTGTTTTGGGAATTTTTTTTTGTTAAAGTTGTCGCGCACTTTTTTCATATAAAAAACAATTATCAAACATTATTTTATATGGAGAAAATTAGTGACACCTTCAACAAAAATATTGCTAAAAATCAATGGCAAGTCCTAGTAGCTACCTCAAACTTGTACTTTGTTATACTGAAATTGAATGGGCTAAATAACTGCGTGATAAACTTTTTTCTAAAGAATGTAAATAAAAAATGCAATATTTGGATGAAAATTTGCAGAATTTTCTTTACTTTTGCATAGGGTTTGGAACTCTGATTTTTCGGGTTTTTGTTGTAAAAAATTAGCGAAAAAAAAAATATTTAAAAAATAGTTACCGGCATTGTAAAAATTCGCTGTACCTAAACTTTATTGACTGACTGTAGGTATGTACGTATTTTTTTTAGTACATACATGTCATTACCGGTCTGTGTATGTCAACTGAAGGAAGGTCATTGTTTCCGCTTTCCATTAAGCTTTTGTAAATTGAGAGAAAGTGAAATGCAAAATTTGTTACACAACAGAATACACAAGAAAAACAAAAACGAATAAAGAAAGTAATCGTAATGCAAAATATGTAAAGTGAAAACAATTCAAGGAATGCGCACATATGTATGTATGTGTGTACATATCGCACCTTAAATCAAAAACAGTCACTACTCAAAAACTTCCAAATATTCAGGAGCGGCAAAAACTATTAATGCTGGGCAAGCAGTTGGAGCAGATAGTGATGAAGAAGAAATTTTGATGGATATTAGAAATATGGTGAGCGAGCTGTTTCATAGAAAAAATTAGTTTTGAAAAATTTTGAGTTGTGTCGGTTTTTGATTTAGGGTGCGATATACTTATGTATGTATGTGTACGGAAGGTAAGTATAATGGATTGTGAAAAGAAAAACCATTCCTAGTACGAGTAAATGTGAGTTCACTACATACATAATATGTATACAGCGGTGGCCACATAATTAGGGACACTACTTCTTTACAAGCATTTTGAACATTTATTTTTTCTTTATTTACTTTCAATTGATTTCTTACTAAAATATTGTTTATACTAGTGATGGGTAAATGCGATATTCGAAGCTTCGAGATTCGAATTTTAATCGAATTTTGACTCCAAAATAGCGATATTTTAAATCGAACTTTTTGGTGCTAAAATGCGGATAAAATCGCATTTTTCTAGAAATAATCAAATTTCGTCGTTATTTGCAAAACAGCAACTCCCAAAATCAAAATCGAACTTTGTCGTGCTAAAATTCGGATAAATTCGAATTTTTCTAGAAGTAATCAAATTTCGTCGTTATTTGCAAAACAGCAACTCCCAAAATCAAAATATCAAGGGACTTCTTCTTCGTTATATGTAAAGAGTACCCTGAAAAATTGATTACTCATAGTCTTGATTAATCATAAATCAAATTACCAAGTATTTTAGTTTTTGGTGAATCATAATTTTGATTACTCGGGTAACTGAACTTTTCGAGTAATCATAATTTATAATTAATCGAATAGTTGATTTATTTAATTTATGCTTAATTAAAATTTTGAATAATTAATTAATCGCATAGCCCTCTAATATGTACATACATATGTACAAAATTTAATTTGTTTTCTAAAGTAATAAGTAGCACATTATTTGCAATTTTTTTTAGTTGATACTTAAAAAATATCTGTGTTCGTATGGAAAAGTAGCTTATGTCGAAGTGCTGGATTTAGTATAAATCGGCATTCGCAGCATGCGATTGCGAATGACTCACAGGCACTGAGCCGTTGAACAACGTTTGGCAAATAAACGTGCCAGAAATAGTTCCGATACTAGCAAGTCAATATTCTTATTAAGTCTCATCGAAAAATTTCTTGTCGTTTAAAGAATAATGAGAATGCCGCATTATACTAAAGCCAGCCTTTCGACATAAGCTACTTTTCCATACGAACACAGATATATAAGATACATTTAATACATTTTTGGATTTTTCCTAATAAATATTTTTTCACGTCGCGGCAATTTTTATTTGTTTTGTTATAACTTTTAAATTTTCATTAAAAAAAATTTTCAAAAATTGGAATAAAGTGAATTTGTACCACGGATTTTCGAATCGAATAATTTAATGGTTGGAAAATGTTCGAAATTCGGAAAAAATCGAATTTTAACGCCCCACTATCCATCCCTAGTTTATACCCGAAAACGAAAACCATGTAAATCAACTTTTTTTTTGCTGACGGTGTTACGCTGCTTGAAACTTTCACAGTATTTGACTTAAATTGAATGAGCTACCAAACTGCATACTTTAATTTTTTCTAGAAATTCTGATTAAAAAGTTGGAAAATTAAATGACCGTCTTTTTGAAATTTGGCGAATTTTCATAAATTTCGTACACGGTTTGAAACTGTGAATTTCGTGTTTTTCATTGTGGTATAACTATATTTTTGTAAAGAATAAATTAAAAATAATTAAATGGTCAAAACTTGTAAAAAAGTAGTGTCCCTAATTATGTGGCAACCACTGTACGTAGATAAGTAAATGATCACGTACTTTTCAGCTTTTGCAAGCGAGTACGGCTTCTCCATAAGCATTCTTAGTGCTCTTACTACTCATGAACCTTCCTGAGACTCATTTAAAAATGATAAAAAGACCTGTTCCAAAAGGAGTATTTAAGTTGGTTAAATTATCCAGCAAAAAGTTGCTCACATAATTTTACATTATAAAATAGAATAGAATACAATTTGTTAAATGCCCTTGCAAAAACACTGTAGACTTATGCGTGTACGGTGATCTTTTGTTTTTTTTTTTTTGCTTAGAAAGTGGTATGGTACACAATTGCTTTAAATTGTATAAAAAGTTGCTCATACGCCATGTAGGTTGGGCTTGATTTAGTGCTAAACGCCGCTTAAAACGATTTATAAATGATATCTTCATTAGAAAGTGGCAACCTTACTTAAACCATTAATCAGTAAGCACTTTCTTCTTCTTGTTGCATTGATGATGGCGATATGTACCATACATAACGCTCGTATTTTTTCGGATAAAAAACTGTATATTACCGCGAAGAAATTGCGTTTCGCATTATCTCCATTTAAAAATAAATGCATTTTTTTACAGTTTTCAAATAAAATAAAGGTATTGAAACCTTATAATTTTTAAAAAGTTATGAAAACAAAGCTTGTAAACATTAAACAACCGAAAGGAAAATAATC